CATTCTAGATATAATTATTCTAACTTCATTGGAGGAATTTTGATGTTAACAATGAAAGACTACAAAATAGTCAATGGAATGTCGAACAAATACTGGGGTTGGGGTCTGGAAGACGATGAGTTTTTCCTTAGGATAAGGTGAGTTCCGCTTTTGCGTACTGTCGGTTTGCTAATGTGATTTGAAGTCATTCTTTTGAGGGATGGAGATCTAAATCTCACCCGTGTTACGAATCTCTCCACTGATCGCTCAAACACATTTCTTCATGTGCATGGTGTGGAACGCAAGCGAGATTACGCTGTTGTTACAAAAGATCAAAAGGCGATGAAGAGAAAGAGAGATTATGTAATTTTTTAATTCTGTTTAGTTGCAGCATTGTCACTTTTCAGCACCTTATAGGTATCCGGATTGAACAGCGTGCGCTATAACATCACAGCACGGCGAACTCTCACATTTGGAAATGCTCGGGTACATGTGATTGATGTAAGTCTGCACTGCGACATGAAATGGACTCCTTACTGCAAACTTCCTAAACGATAGTATAGAATATCATTGTCTATCATCCATTTTTTTCTTTTTTACCTACTTGTTATGTTATTGTTTTTCTCTTATCAAGTTTTCAATATTTTCGAGCTTAGGCCATCACTTTCCTGCCTTTTGTGAGCTTCGGTGAACCAGGTTCTGACAGAGTCCCTCCCAATATTACTTATGTCTGAGCTTTTTCAAAACATTCTCAAAAGGCAAAAAAAAATCAAAGCAGTAGAGAATTGTAAAATCGGGAATTAGTTGCTTGCCAGTCGAGTTACCTTCAAGCATAGTACAACTCCCAACTTAGAGTTCTTTTTTTAGCTGCGTGCTTGACGGGAATTCTGCCTATTAAATTACGTTATCATCTACAACTGTGCAGTTCTGTGCTAAATTCATTAGGGTTAAGACGAATCTTTGAGAACAACAGAACCTTTTCATTCATTAGCCTATGATTCATACGACCATACTGCTTTCAGTAGGATTTTTCTTCGCAGACCTATAGAATTTATTGCATCTTCATTCAATAATGGATCTATAGAAAAAGGCTTGTCGTCTCATGTATAGATTGTTTGTCTTCATTTGCCTTACTTTGTTCACTTTTCGTTTTTTGTTATTAATAAGTATATAAGTAATATGTTGTTGCATGAGTATCATTACGTACTCAATAGTTCTCTTAAGCCGGGTGTGTCTGCTGTCCTTCTGCTGTGATACATTACAATACATTTTAGATGTATTCACTTATCTCCATTGAATTGATTATGGTGCCGTTTTGAAGGGTAAATCTTTCACCTCTATTGTTTATACATACGAGAAATGATATTAAAAGACCCTTCTCCTGACTATTAGACTTTACAGATTTCTCATCTCTCATCGTTATTCATTATTGCAAATTTATGCGAAGTTGAGGGTGACACACGCGTCCTTGGCCTTGATCTTCACCGTCGATGATCTTTTGCTGATGAAAGTTCTATGAGATCAATTCGACATTTCAGTTTCCACGATTGTAGCAGCCAGCCAGGTTTCCTAAATGAAAAGTTCATTTTCTCTTAGAAAAGTTCACACAGTAGTACTTAAATATGAAATTTCAAGGGTAAGAAGGAATTTAGTGGCGAAGTGCTTCGGGCGAAAGGTCACTTGTTGAAGTTGAGCCTAATTAGCCATTTTGGTTACTTTTCTCTAATCAAAATTTTAAAAGTCAACTTTCAAATTATTGTTTTTTGCCTTGTGATCTTATGTTCTATGTCTAGTTTTGTACTTTTACCTTGTACATATAAAGCTGGGAGTGAACTTATCACCGATTTTGACATCCTAAAGTTATTTTGTGGAGTAAGTGAAACTCTCAAGTTGTTCAAAAAGTACAAGGAACTTAAAAATGTTTTTTTTTTCCTTTTTTTTGTGACTGATATCTTATGGCATTGCACATCATACT